TGTAGCTAAAAGTAGAGAGACGTGTTCTGGATCATGTTCGCTTCTTCTTCGTTTTGGCAGAACTTTAACCTGATTCTGAGGATGGCAGGGGGAACTGTATTCATGCTCTGAGTTCAATATTTTGACTATTATTATTATTTGCTTTTTTGAACCATATGTGAGGAGCGACTGGTGTTTTTGAGCAAAAACAAGAACACGCCACATCGTACTTTGATTTATTAGCTATTATCTAATTTCTAATGAGACAACAATTTACTAAATGAACATCCTGGTGTAATAAATGAGACCCAAAACTAGGATTTTTGAAAAAAGGAACATGTTTACTGGGGTCATAAATCAAGTGCAATCAAATTAGTCACCCCGTTCTGGTCATTTGTAAGAATGGATAATTAAGGCAATTTTGCCCTTCCACTTGCTCTGTACTTGTACATTTACAGCCATCTTTTATATATACCATCTAGGGATCAATATAATTCAATTACTAATACGATTTCTGTTACTATTTTTATAACAGAGCTCCGAGATGCTTTCAAAGAGTTTGACAAAGACAAGGACGGTTTCATCAGCTGCAAAGATCTCGGAAACTGCATGAGGACCATGGGATACATGCCAACTGAAATGGAGCTGATAGAACTAAGCCAACAGATCAACATGAACTGTAAGGACAAGCAGTCATCTATACACATCACACATATAACTATATCCTCTGTGTCTTTTGAGGTTTGAAATTTGTACTAAATCCTCTCTTTTTTTTAAGTGGGAGGTCATGTTGATTTTGAGGATTTCGTAGAGCTGATGGGCCCAAAACTCCTCGCCGAAACTGCGGACATGATTGGAATAAAGGAGCTAAAAGACGCATTTAGGGAGGTGAGACTGTCTGGATTCAAGTGGTTTATTAGCTACTTTTCTGTTTTCAATACTGAACCTCGGCTTGTTGTTTTCAGTTCGACACTAATGGAGATGGTGCCATAAGCACGTCGGAGCTCAGAGACGCAATGAGAAAACTGTTGGGACAACAAGTAAGGTTCAGCTCAGAGCGAGAGAGTTATCGTTAATGAAATAGACGTTTTTTGTTGTGCTTTACTCACTGCTACCATCCTGTTTGGTTTTGGTTTTTCAGGTTGGTCTGAAGGAAGTAGAAGACATCCTAAGGGATGTGGACTTGAATGGGGACGGACTTGTCGACTTTGAAGGTAAAACGTCCTTTTCAGACAACCTGTTTAAGGTGTAGCGTAGAGTGTGGCTGAGCTGCAGTTGCAGTTTCGTGCTCTTTCTTCTCTCCTTTCAGAGTTTGTACGGATGATGTCTCGCTGAGATCATTAAAATGATCGGTCCTGAATGTGAAGCTACGTCCTTCTCTACACTAGACTAACTACAACAAGACGACATACTGAGAACTTCTGAGCCATCCAACTCTGAATGACACTGGAAAATAAAACTACTTTGAATGTTACAGAGTGAAGGCGTCACCTCACGCTTTCAGTCAATAAGTGTTCTTCCTGAAAAGTCTCCAGTTCAACTGAGGCAGAATTCGCTGTAGCCTAGCTGATGATTACCTAATTTATGTTTGGGTTGTTTTTTTTTTGCACTTTAATTAACACTAATAACTTCCTCTGTGGATAAATCGCTGGTGTCTTAGTCTTTACGTGGTCTAATTACGCGTCTCACAAAATGTCACCTTTGATGTACAACGGCGTCAGAATGAGAGGCCGAATGTTTGTAGAAAAGATGTTAAAGGTCACTGTACTGTTGAAAATTCCACTATATATTCACCCAGTATGTGTTATATTAGAAACTGTAACCAGAACGACCTTTGTGTGACATTGGTGCTCCACCGAGGAAACCATGTGGTGGCAATGTCCTAACTGTGTATCCTAACTGTGTGACCATCTGTGGTTTTTCACTGTGCCAGTTAAAGTCTGATAAAATGCACCACTGTGTGACATGCAGTTCAGTAGACTGATGATAATGAGCTGCTGAATATAAATACTTTTCATGTATGTTATTCACTTGTCTGGGATGAAGGGCAGATGAAATATTTATAGAAGAACAAGATGCACAGCTTTTAAATCCGTGGAGCCAAACTGACACTATCCTGCCAATGTCAAGATTGTTTTTCTCTTTTAAGAAACACCTTGCCCTGTCTGGGATTACACAGTAGAAATAACGTATATGAAGCGTATTTACAGTGGATGTGATAACGTTGTAAATGTACTGTCTGTCGGTGTCTCAATGATTGTATTTGTGGTAATGCTCCACATGTCAGTGCTGTCAAAAGAAAATTCTATGCATGCCAAAGACATTTATTACATTCAGTATGCACATTTGCATTCCTGTCTAACAAAGTAAACAAAATAGCCGCCAAGTTAACTGTAGAAGAATAAAAGGTGTTTACATTTGAGCCCCTTTTATTGTGGTGATGTTGCCAAGGAAAATGTGTTGCTGTCTTTAGTTTGATATTTCGATCAAAATGAAAACATGACAACAGATTATTTCAGTGTGGACCTTTTGTTTGTTTTTCTATAATGCATTCATTTTAAGAATGATTGTGAGACTGCTGTTACTGCATGTCCTGAGGACAAATCTCCGCCCTCCTTATAATATTTGTCATTCATATAGCAGTATTCAAAAATCACAAGCCAACCCTGATTTCTTTATATTTTGCTAGGAACGCGGCAAACAGATGCAGCGGTTTATTTAAATATGTGCAAACATGCGTGGGAATGCAGTCGGTATAAAAGACAAAAACAGAGCTTGTGCAGTTCTGAAGAGCATGAAAGTCAACATTTGGTGAGACCAAATGTTGTTCTTTAACACAGCCTGAACTCCCTCTGCCAAGTTTTCTTGTAATTTCTTAAAGTTGTCTTCAGGAATAGTTCTCCAAGCTTTTTGGAGGACATTCAATGCTCTTCTTTGGATGTTTCTGCCTTTTGTTCCATTCAAGATGTTTCTGTAACGTTGAGGTCCAGGCTCTGGGGAGGCCTAATCCATGACTGATAATGTAACATTGTGTGTTTTTCTATCTAGACATGCTTTTAGTGCATTGACAGTGTTTTGGGGATCATTTTCATGCTAAAAACGGAAGGTGTTTCCAATAAGGCTTGCTTAAAACCAAAGAGGTAGCTCAAGACTGTTATACTGTACTGGGCATGTCTATGAGTCTGCTAGCTGGGTATGTTTTGATATTATTGTACAATCATCAAATGTCATCTACGGTTCTAGAAAAAGCATATGACAGGGTACTAAGAGAGGAACTGTGGTACTGCATGAGGAAGTGAGGAGTAGCAGAGTGAGGCAATGGTGAGGTGTGCGGTAGGTGTGACAGAAAGGTTCAAGAAGGGGGTGGGATTACATCAGGGATCCATCAGGGAGCCCCTTCTTGTTTGCAGTGGTGATGGACAGGCTGATAGATGAGGTCAGGCAGCAGTCTTTATGACTATGATGTTTGCAGACGACATTGTGATCTGTAGTGAGAGGAGGGGACAGGTGCAACAGAGCCTGGAGAACTGGAGGTATGCTCTGGTGTAACAGTGAGGATGCAAGGAGTGGTGGGTGAAGGTGGGTGAGGTTAACTGTGCCTTCTTCCTGTGTGAACTTTTATCAGTTTCGTTATTGAGAATATGTTTGACAATTACATGCAAATTAATAATTTTCCATAAAACAAACATACATACATTTGTTTTTATAATCTCTTTATTAAAATTCCCAGATAAGACTATTCAGAAACTGACCATATTCAGAGTACTCTGATATGTGCAGCAACCAACAAAGTTAAAGAACACGTCTGTTTTAATGCTTTGCCTACATTTTCAGTGCAAGATGAAGTTTTCATGCACAAACAACCAAACACTGAGGCGGGCACTGCAACACCCACGACATAGCTGCACTATCACGTGCTGCCTCTGGGTTATTTGTCTTCTGGAGAAAAAGATGTAGCCGAGCCCTAAATGTCTGTAAAGCAGCAACAAGCCAATGTGCTTCGTGGAAACACTAGGTCTCTGTAGGCGTGTGCCGCCGTAACACTACGGTCAGTACTGGTTCAAACAGAGAAACAGCTGCACTAAACTATTTCTTTTTATTAGGCTTTACTTTAAGAAGAAAGGATATTTAGCAAGTTAAAAAGGGAAAAGGGCAGTCGTAAAACACCTGTCATCCGTGGCGGTTGGCCGTTGCCATAGCAACTATCTTCATTCATCTCTTTCTGGTCAAATCTCAGGTGCCCCGTGTTCGCGCAGAGGGCTCTCCTGGATGCGCGTTGCGTTGGACTTTCCCAATTGGCCGAGACCCTACCATACCGGAAAAACAGGGGGCGGTACTTCTTCTTAAAGAACACGTGCTGCATGCTGTATGACTAGATAGTTCAGTTCATTGTATTTAAAAGAAAAAACAAAATACTGGAAGTACAGCGTTGAATATTTTTCCCCTTTGTTTTTACAGAGTGAGTAGAGCTGTCAGATTTCTTAACAGCCTTCCCTCGAGCGGCTTTTTTGAAGGGACTGATGGTTAAACCGACGGGCAAAAAAAGCTTTAATCCTAAGCAAGTATTGAAAAATACAGCACTTCACACGCTGTGAAGTCCACAATGATAGTTTCATTAGAGTTTAGAAGTTTTAAAATATTTTTATGCCTCATAGTCACTTCCTAAAACTCTTCTAAAGACTCTTCTGCGCTATGTTGCCTTTAAGGCTAAACTCGGGGCTTTCAAGCTGAAATCCCTCACTTGACGTGGAAAAAAGACGCACGACAAGTCTTGCCTGTTTCTATTAAGTGTGCATAATTGTTCCAGCCCTCAAAAAGTAATTTTCTGTCATATTCTTCTAAAAGTGAATTAATAGCTGTGTTTTTTGTGTTTAAACAAAGAATTGTGTGATTGGTTTGTGTTATACAAAATGTGTTTGACGGTCCGGGAAACCTTTAAGCGGCGGAGTAAAGTGATTGGACGAAGTACTTGTCAGTCATTTGAAGTGTAGTTAGGTAGCGTTGCTCCGCCCCCTGCAAACTGCCAGCAGCTGCAGCTAGCAGCAGAGCAAATGTTCATTTGGATGCACACATTGAATGAAAGTCAGTGTAGGAGGCTGTAGTCAGCAGCAACTAACAATATCTGCACTAGGTGAAGTTATCGCACAGTGTAGATTTTAGGCACTCAGCTTCACAGGGCAAGCAGAGACACGCCTATACTTTGGAAAAATCCAGGTTGGAGATATTTGTGGCAGGGGAGGGTAAGATTTGCCGGGCTCTCATTCACCAAGAATTTCTGGTTAGACAGGTAGGTTAGCTAGCAAGCTAGCCTAGCTAAATAACCAACGTTATTCACTGCTAATTTCTCGTCGTCTTTTATTCTTTGGCCAATGAATACAGAGGTGATATGTCGTGACTTTGTCACCGTGAAATTACAATAATTGTTTAATAATTGACTGACATTTTCCGTGTGTATGTGCAAAATGCCACTGCCGGTACTGTTAGCATACTGGCTAACTTAAAGATATCATGTTTCATGTCATCAAGACGAGCTTGCTAGCTCCTGACACTGGCTAATGTGGTACAGTTAATGTTACATGCCGCATGCGGGGAAATACCGACGCTGAATATCTGTCTGTGTGTCCAGGAGCAGGCGGTGTGAGGTAATGCAGCGGGTCACGGCGCAGCTCGTCGCCGGGCTGGTCGCAGCGGTGCTGTCGCTGCTGTCCGAGCAGTCCTGGGCAGATGGTGGGGGGCCCAGCCTCTCTGAACGGGTTATCTGGGCTGTAAATGCCGGGGGCGACGCGCATGTAGATGTGCACGGTATTCACTACAAAAAGGACCCACTGGAAGGGAAACTTGGTAAAGGTGAGTGAACGTGATTAACTGTTAAGATGCGTGCGTGTCTTCGCTAGGCTTCACCTCTGATGTTCTAGTGAGAGTGACATTGTGAAGGTAGGTGCTCCACGGAGGTAAAATTGGCATTTCCTGCAGAAACCCCTGCGTGTTCTGGCTTCCGCAAGTAGCTCCAAACTTATGAGGAGTCAGCATAGAGGGCTACAGCCCCGCCCCACTCAATATGTAGAGGAAGCAGGTAGTGATGTGATCAGCGTGACTGGAGAACAGTTTTTGGTTCCATTTTTGAGGCAAACTTATTGAACCTTGGTGAAAACGCAGCATGGTTGGTTACTTTTTTGACGCACGGTGCTGTTATGTCATCAAATGTAGAGAAGGTCTGTGGGGTTTTGCAATATGCTGCAAGTCAACTAAAGCAGCACATTTCTAGTACTTTTGCTGTTAGGCAGATCTTGTCTTCTGATTGCATACCGAGCCTGATGATGTTGTCCGTTTGTAGCCTCTAATTATGGGATGCGTCTGCCAATACTACGGTCCAATCAGGAGGACCAGATTTTGTACCAGACAGAGCGCTACAATGAAGACAGCTTTGGATATGACGTCCCCATTCGTGAAGAAGGAGAGTATATACTGGTTATGAAGTATGCAGAAGTTTACTTTGCTCAGTCACAGCAAAAGGTAAGGCAGTTTTAAAAGGCTGTTTATGGTATGATTTGCTAATTAATAAGAAGTTAATTTAGTGAGAATAATGAATAAAGGGACAGGAAGCATTTTTATATAAAAACATTTTTTGTTGCATTTAAATTGGTTATGGCCCAGTATATTTCCCATCTCATGACCACTGTGTAAAAGGAACATCATAACCTCACCTTTTAATCCACATTTTCTTGTACTTTATGAGTTGTTAATGTTCCCTGTTAAACGTGTCTGTGAGTGACAGTACAAGAATGAGGTGTTAATCATTACTGATTCAGGAATGTTTTTCCAGGTGTTTGATGTTCGTCTAAATGGCCACGTGGTGGTGAAGGACCTGGATATATTTGATCGAGTAGGACACAGTACTGCTCATGATGAGATCGTGCCCTTCTCTATTAGACGGGGCAAGCTGAGCGTGCAGGGAGAGGTGTCCACTTTCAATGGCAAGCTCACTGTGGAGTTTGTAAAGGTGAGTTCTAATTTGTTGAATTATCTGAGCTTGGCTATTTTTACACACAGTTTACATACTGTGTGGGATGGGGCTGTAGCTCTGGTGGCAGAGCAGGTCAGCCACTAATCAGAAGGTCAGTGGTTCGATCCCAGGCTGCCTCCTGGCTGCATGCTAAATATCCTTGGGCAACCCCATGTCTGCCAACTGGTGGTGGTCAAAGGGCCCCCCTGGCAGCTGTGGCTACAATGTAGCTTGCCATCACCAGTGCATGAATGTGTAATGCAGGCCATTTACATAAGAGTGCTGTATTTGGAAGTATTTGTCAATTGTTGAGCTTAAAACACTTTTCTTTATTTTTCTTTTTTTAAACCCAACATGTCCAAAAACAGCGATGAACTAAGTGTTTAATTCTTATTTTCTATATCTTTAATAGTGTTTTAGCATTGTAAGATGGCAACACGCAGCTATGTGTAATAGTCAGAGGTTGGGAGAAAAGGTAGTACTCACTTTATGTTAATATAACTCAAATGCAGTTTGATCTAGATATGAGCATAACTACTTGTGTGTCATGGGTGCCATTACCCCTGACACACATAAAGCTTTGCATAATGAACTCCCTTTGTGAAAGTGTCTCTTGATAGCCAGTTGGTGTGTGGGCTGTGAAACTGACTGATAACCATCCAGTATCTTATTGGCTCTTAGGGGAGAGTGAACTTGATGTGGCTTTTTTTTTTTTTTTTCCTGTTCCTACTATTATTGTCAAGGAACTGAAGAAAATAACTGGCACAGCAGATGCTGTTTATGCTGTTTATGGGTGGAGTCACAGAACCTGTTAAACTCAAAAGCCCCTGAAGAAAAAAGCCTAAAGCCCAGACCCTACCATGCTTCTTAAAAAAAACAAATAAATAAATTAAATGATGTTTTGTTTTTTTTCCTCCCTGATATCACTACAACTACCTGTTAGATTATGAATTGTTATAAATAAGCTAAAAATTAAACCTAGGTGTACATCACTTGCTTTGATGCTTGCAGGTGGTGAATTCAAATTAGTAGCGGAGGAAGGACAGGATTACTAAGAGTGTGGCACATCTGTGGTTTTCATTCTTTCTGAACAGTCTGTTTTCATGTCACAGATGTAGCGTGCTGTTTCACATTCGTTTCAGTGATTTTGCGTTTATTCATTTCTGGATCATCTTGACACACGAGCTTTGGTAAATATCAGGAGAATCACATCAAGATATTATCTGAAGCTGTCCTTTCCAACATTCAGCGCAAAACAGGACTCTCACTGCTAGAAGTGGTTTATTTAGTTCAGGCCAGGGTGTTGTCTGAGTAGAGGACAACCGCGCTGCCTGTGAATTTATTGGATGTTTACTTGCATCTATTTTCATATCGACACAGGTGGTCAGAGTTTTGTGGGTAATGTCTGCGAAAGTTGGGGGTGTCAAAATGGTTGGATTGGTTAACATTGTAACATCTTATTTTCCTTTAAACAATGTAATGCTAATGTAATGATTAAAAATAATAATAATAATTTCATCAGTGCTTGAACCCTGTGTTTTGAGGCATGCCCTTGTCTCAGCTGACTCACAAACCTTGTTGCCTTCCTTGGTATCATTTATCCCCCATAGTGTCTTGAAGCTTTTCAACCTAATTGTCTTTAGAATAGTTTAGATCGTGCATCTTGTACCATATTTTTATATCTTGAATCTCTTTCATGCTCCTGTTAATAGTGGAGTCGATGTTATCAGTGAGGTTCCCAATAAGTGCCTTTGAAAATGGAGTGTGTGTGTGTGTGTGTGTGTGTGTGTGTGTGTGTGTCTGTCTGTCTACTTAATTAGGTCAAGTAAGTTTTTATTGTTGTTGGTTTTTTCTTTTTGAGATTTATTTTAATTCATTGATGTGACCTGCTATTTATTTCCTTATCAGAAGTTAATAATTCTTATTTTGTTAAGTATCTCCAGTGTGAGTGTAGCAGCAGTATTGTGTTTCCCATTCACATAATCCATCATGTTCGACTTTAGACTTTTGAGATATAAGAGCATGAATGAATTAAAATCAAATTTACTTGACCTAATTAAGTAGGACTACTTACACACACATATAAAAATACATAAATCAATAAAATAATAAAATGCGCACATGCGTGTGACTTCTTATTGACTGCTATTTGCGGTTTTGGAGTGACGTGGCAACATGACCAAAATTAAGTCATGGGTTCTGTTACTGTACAAATATTCTATGTAGTGTTCTCATTTCAAATGTGTTTAACTAGTTTCACTGAATGACTCCAAATTGAAATTGTCTAGTCACCATTTATTTTCGCACACATGCATCATAATTATTACACTTTTCAGTTTATACTAATAAATGTTGATCAATGAGCTGCAGCCATAGGGGAAAAAAATACAGCTTTATGATTCCTTTTAAAGCTCTGAATGACAGCAGGTAGCCTGTTTGTAGGGCATGCAACTGTATGCTAAATGTATAAAGTGGCATACTTGGGAAAGTTTCTGCAGTGACCTCTTTCTTCCATTTTTTTTTTTGTGGACCACTGGCACTCTTTGCATTTTTCCTGTCTAAAAAGATTTCCTTCCCTGAATCAGTTGAACTCCATTTGGACACAAAATGGGATTAAATGTACACCACAAACTGAATGGGAAGTCGAGAAACAAATATGGAAACTCAAACAACTAAATGGGAGCTTTGAAAGTATATGTGGATACACGTTTTGCTTACATTTGAATCTGCTGTTTCAGGGTTATTATGACAACCCCAAGATCTGCGCTCTCTACGTGATGAAGGGGACATTAGAAGGTGAGTCCTGAGATTGTTAAACACTTGTTCAGCACTTTACAGTGAAGTGTGTTGACTAAAGCATTTTGACTTTCTGGGACCAGCGAGCTCTCCCTGACTTTTGTTCTACATCTTTTAAGATGTACCAAAGCTTCAACCTCACCCTGGCTTAGAGAAGCCTGAGGACGATGACGACGACGATGATGAGGGTGAAGTAGGCGAGGAAGGTGGGAAGAAAAAGCCCCCAAAAGGTACCCATCACAGGGTCCAGTCAGGCCCCCGAACACCAAACCCATACGCAGCTGACAACAGCAGCCTAATGTTTCCCATCCTCGTTGCGTTTGGGGTGTTCATCCCAACACTGTTCTGCCTCTGCCGGCTGTGAGCTAAAACTATCTACTAACGAGACGGACACGGGACTGTGAAGGAAGGGAGGAGAATGAGGGGGGGAGGGATGGTAACAGCAGCACAGGTAAAACATACACACAGGAGAGGGCTGGACAAGGAAGTACACAAAGAAGACAATAACTTTTGGAAGACCCACTGCAAGACGACGCAGATGCTGTAAGAATTGGGGGGGGGGATGCAGGAAGTGTATGCTGTGCGCTTCTCTGTGAATTTGTTTGCATCCACCTCTGCTGACCCTTTTGAACAGTGTTAGCCATTTCCACACCAGTCCTTCAAAGGCTGGGGAGAAAAAAAAAAAAAACATTTCGGCATTAAAAGGATGCTCAAGAGTGTTTGGTCCGGGACGGTTTTTGTAAACTAAAAAGCATTGCTTTGTACGGGGCGTAGAAAGAATGCACTCCTGCTCAGCATCTGGCCAGACATGCTACTTTCAAATTGGAAATGCTACTGCTGAGAATTTGATTAAATAGAACTAACTAGAAATCAAACACAGTCACGGTTAATGGAAATGCAGTTGTCATCTGAGAGACAAGTGCAGAGATGGAATATTCGTATCTTTCTGTTCTAGTTGGTCCTTTTTTGTTGACGTGCCATCTTCTACCTGCCATGTTGAAATATCAGAAAGTCCTTTGCAAACCGGTGGGCTCACTTGCTGTCTAATTCGCCTTCTAATTCCCGAGGATGGATTTATTTTATAAGTTGCACATCTAATCTTTAAAAAAAAAAGCAGTTTCCTTCAGTAAAAGACGCCATATTCATATTTGGTGAGAGGCAAAGTTCATGCTGTGAAAAGCTTCATTGAGTCAGTTACATCGCTGTATTTTCTGTGACATCTGCCTTTTTTTTCTGTTCATTCACTAGTGCGTGTCTTTTGTTTCACCAAAGAATGTCATTTTTGTTATTTTATCAGAAAACTTCAAACATGGTGGCCTGTTGTTGTTTTTTTTTTGTTTTTTAAATTTGAATTTTATATCTCTGTCCAAAATGTGTTTTTAAAACAAATGTGAGTAGTTGACTCTGAAGTGTTAAACTATCACAACAGGTCAGGACTTCTTGATATTAGGATTCTAAATGATTACAAATCACCCCCCCTCGATACACTTGCCATGTATTCTCCAAGTCACTCTTTGTATATCGGATGTTTGTCCTCTGAGAGGTGAGAAAGCACAACAATAATATAAGTTTAAAAAATAATAATAATAATCAACTGTGTACCGGATGTTATGTGTGAACCTTTATTCAATTCTTCTCTTAGCTTTTTCCATTCTGTTGTCGTCAAACGTTTCAGTGTTGCCTGTACATTTTTGAGTAGTTACATTGTGAATTTCCCGTGGGGTCATATTTCGGTCTTTTGAGTTGATCAAATTGGGACAAAATGAAATCTATGAGCCCCCCCCCCCCCCCTCACACATATCTATGTTGTCGGCGTCCGCTTTGATCTTTTGGACAAAAATGTTCTTGTTGGCTTTCCACGCAGACTGAAAAGAAGCTTTGTTTCTTGGTTTTGGTGGCGTTGTTGTGAAGTCTCCTGTTAATGTATCTAGTTACTTACCTTAAGTGCTTAGCTCTACTCTGAGGATGATTTTGTAACTTTGCCTGTTTCACTAATGCGTCTTAAGTACTCACCACCCATCCACCCAATCCTCCTCTCCCTTCTCTGACTAGTATTGCTGTTGCCATACGCAGTACTTGAAAAGTGATTAATAATTCAGGCGTCGTGGATGCTTCCTTACTCCTCAGTCCTCCTCATTGTGATTGATGGTGGTTTAAAAATTTGGTGCCAGAAAATATTTAGCCAGTTTATGGTAGTGTTGTGTTTTTTTGTTTTTTGTTTTTGTTTTTTTTTTTGTTTCTTTTGAATGTTGTAATATCTTACTCTTATTTCATACAGACTGGTGAGAAATGAAAGAACAAACCAACAGTGTTTCAGTGTGCCTTGGCACTGATTCCAGAAGTTTCCAGATAAGTGTGTCACGAAGGAAACTGACTGGTGTCTTATGCGGGAGCTTTAGCATGTTTGGGTTGTTTTAGTGTGAAGTTTACTCATATTTTCACTTTATTTTTGGTTGGGTTAAGGCAGCCAAACCTGGTGGGGTTTCCTAAGTGGTTAATTGTTAGTATCTTCAGAATTTTGCTGGTGATGCCAAAATGCCTTGACTGAGTCTCAGCATGTTTATTTTTTATTTTTTTTAATTGGAAGTGAGACTAGACTTGGACCCTCCTTCAAGTCACTCCCATCGGGTTTGAAGGTTTGTTTGTTTGTTTTTTGTTTGTTTCTTCTTGTAGGACAAAGATGACCATTTGATTGCGTTGACCTTTGCCTTTATGGTGGCACTTAGGCTCGCTTGATGACACGGATATCGAGAATGTGTAGTCCTTCCATCTGTCTGCATTTTCTGCCACTTATCCAGGTCCCAGGACTGCTCCTTAAGCAGAGATCTCTCTCTCCCCAGCCACCTCCTTTACCTTCAAGTGTTCCTAGGACAGAGAGACACAATCTCTCCAGCGTGTCCGGGGTCTACTCCAGCCTAGTCCCAGTTGGACGTAACCGAAACACCTCATCCAGGAGCGCAGATCAGGTCCAAGTCAGATGCCTGATTGAGCTGAACTGGCTCATTTTTTTGCAGAGATCCAGCAGCTCTGCTGACCTGAATAGCCATCCAGTCTTTAAGGCAGAACCTAGACACCATTCAGAGGAAGCTCATTTCCACCGCTTGTATTTGCTCAGTCTTTCTTTTGGTTGCTATTTAGAGTTCATGGCCATAAGTGATCCACAGGTAAATCGACAGCTTCGCTTTCAAGTTCAGCGCTCTCCTCACCATGACAGAGCACTGGAGCATACACCTGCTCCTTCCTTCTGTCTCACATACAAGACCTGGAGATACTCAACCACCTCCACTTGGGGCAACAACTTGCTCCCAGCTTGGTGTGGACTCTCCACCCTTGTCATGTGCAAGCTTGCGTCCATCGCTCAAAGAAGCCATCAAGAAATTTTTATAGTTCTTTATTATAAATAGTGTACTATTTATAATATAGTGTACAATTTGCATGGTTTAAAAAAAAAAAAAAAAAAGGGGGGGCACACAATGTCCTCTTGGAGCCTTGTTCTCACCCCTTGCAGGGAAAATATAACACCAGCTTCAGGGGGCCAAGTGGACCCAAGCCATCCCATCAAAATGCCTCATAGCACAGCAGAAAATAAGGTCTCCTCGCTGCAGTCGTCAAGTGTGTGACTGATTTTTGTTTTGGGGTTTGTTTGTTTTTTCTTTATTTCATTTGTCACCAATCTGTGTAAGCGCCTTTCTTTCCTCTGAAAAGATGCAAGACGTTCATTTAATCCAGCGCCAAAGTCACCATATTCTGCTCCTCTGCAAGTCTACACAGTCGCGTTTGTATATAAGGTACAAGATCACACTTTTTATCGTGTGACGACAATGTTTTTGGTTTTAATTTGGGGTTTTAAGTGAGGGTTTGTTTTTGATCTTGTTTTGTTTCTTATGAAGATGACTTTGTGGCCTTTTCTTCTGGGGAGAAATGGTTATTGGTACAGAGTATAAAAATTCTAACAGGCAGCCAGATGAGCTGTCTGTTAAACAAATGAGATTATCTCTGAATATATGGGATCTTCCATTGCGTTAGGTGTAATTTAAATCGGAGCGGGGCTGACCTGGAGATATTTTATAATACGCTTGGATTTGTTTGAAATTTTTTTTTCCTCAGGATTTGTTTTAGTTTGACTTTTTAAAACGTGATATATTATTGGTGTGACATTTTGCACTGCCTCGTGTATTTTAAAATGTGTGTGTGTGTGTGTGTGTGTGTGTGTGTGTGTGTGTGTGTGTGTGCGCGTGTGCATGCGTCTTTGTTGCCTTGAATTGTTAAATACAAATGCGCTTTACCATCATTCGCCTTGAGGTGGCTCTTTTGTTGGCTTATGTCAAAACAGCCTTTTATTTTTTTTCTTCCTTCTCTGTACAAAAAACTTTTCAGGGCTAGATTTTCATTCCACAGGAAGGACTCTTTTTAGGAGAACAGGACACATGTTAGAAGAATTAAAATGTATATCAAGTCTGTTCTTAACCTCAACTAAAAAAACACAAAAGTTTTGCAGGAAAAGTGTAATAAACATATACCCACAACTTATTTCAAGCAGTGTCCTCACATCCTTCTTTCCAGACCTTTTGTTGTTGGTCTCGTAGTTAACTACCGCAGTGGAATGAAGATCTGCTCTGCTTTTTTTCTTTTCCCACAAGAGAACCAAAGAATTTCAGTCATTCCATCCAAATTGTTCATCAGAGTCCTAACATGGTGCAAAATAATTACCTCTCATCCTTTCTTTCACCTGGGAAACGTGCTAAATCAAGCTAACACGTCATTTCATGTCTTGTCATCGCGTTTATTGAGGCCATGCCAGAATACTCAATCTTGTTTTTGTTTTGTTTTGTTTTTTAAAAATCATTGTAAAAGAGTCGTTTGAATTGCTCTGTAATTATTGTAAACTTGTTTTTGTTTTGGCATGTTTTCTTTTAACTTTTTTTTTTTTTTTTAACTAAACGTGAGATCAACTTAAACGGAAACAAATTTGAACAGCAGAAATCAGCCAACTTGCCCATTGCCCAGGCAGCAGCCCATTCAATTTGAACAGCCGGGTCTGCTGCCGTGAATGTGTATGCGTGAGACATGGAGTGTGCAAGTTGTACCTTATACGCACGTGTTTGGTAAATAATTGCTCTTCTGAGGGATGTAAGCAGCAGCAGGTGGACTGAGAAACTGTATACGAGACCCCTGATCTTCTGCCTCAGATATGGCATATATGGGAACTGCTGATAAATGCTGTCTTTTTAATAAATGTGCTATTTTATCAGAATGTGTTGCTGCTGTTCTTCCACCTCCACCACCCAGGAGTTACCACCTACAATTATTCCAGGTCAGTTAATATTTGAACATAGTGCTCTGGTTAATTGAATTTCTTTTAGGCCGAGTACTTTGGAATTAAAGTGTGAAGTATGCTGGACTTGGTGTAGCGTACAAAAGTCTTGAGCCACCCCTCATTTCTTTCTTTTGTTCCGAGGAGCCAGAGTTGTATTTAAGTAGTGTTATCTGCTCATTTTCCCTGCAGTCCTTGTTCCTCCCCCACTTTCAGAGGAACTTATTCTGTTACGTTACCAATCACTTGAGCATAAAAGACTCGTAAGGGATAAACCAGTAATATCTACACATAATAGAGAACTTGGCAAAACAAAAAGTAGTATTTAATCATTTTACTGCTTGTAGCCTGTTGCAGGAACACATCTGTTCCTATTTCTTTAGCTATATTTATGAAAAATTGTAAAGATAACAGTTTGACACACAAACTAGTGTTTTTACTCCAACAAGGAGACTCCCACAGAGCTGTTAGTTGAAAACTTGGTATTTCTCTGCATGGCAAAAGCCTAAACAAATATATCTTCACCAGATGAACAGTTTGCAAAAGTAATTTATGGAATCTAATGAGGTCTTTACTGAAAAATCCATAAAAGATCTGATACTGAGAGATGCATCTGGACAGAAGTGGTCTAAGTGGAAAGAAGTCGTGCTTAATGAAGAGAAACGAGGAGAAAACACTGATCTATGCTAAATGACACGAGCTGGACTGAACAGCAACAGATCTTATGGAGTGATTAATCCAGTATGTACAGAGGTACAACAGTGAGTGTAGACAGCCATCTGTGAGACACAGCGTTGGCGATCTTTCCAAAATTGGTGAAATTATGAACACAAAGTTCAAAAAAGATTTAGATCCAAGTTTGACTGCATGGTTCAGTCATCCACAGCACCTATTTCCCATTTTCTTAACAACATATAAAGAAATGAGGGACCACTGTACCTTTTGTTGATGCATGAATAGCTTCCAACATATTGGCTTGGCTTGGTAATTATTATTGATCTATCACACATTTGTCTGTATCAGGGTATATGTCGTCTGATATGTGCAAATATATTTTTAAGAATTTGTTTTTTAACTGAACTGCAGTAAAGATCAGGTCATCAGATAATTCTTGTTATTACTTTAAAACCAGTACATCATTTGATACCGCCTAAATATCAGCGTTAGCTAAAAATCCAGGACAAGCAAGGCTCTACCTTAAACCTCTTAACCTTAAAAGTGCCCGTGTCATGTGACGCCTTGCATAAATAACACAATAACATACATTATTCATTTTTTTTTTTAAATTACTTCACAAATGGATAATTGTCTCTCAGATGATGGTGGCTACTCACTGCCTGAACCCTTTGGCCAGATTATTGTTATTCAGATTAAGGGTAGCAGCTCTCAAATAGCTTTGAGTGCCTCACCCCCCACTGGCAAACTGAGTCAGAGGGTGAGATATTGTGTGTGTGTGTGTGTGTGTGTGTGTGTAATAATAGAAATACTCAAATAGTCTAAAAAGGCTAAAAACTGAACAAGCCTGAAACTGAATACCTCCACAGAGGCTGAAAACACACATGCCACACCACATCAGGAACATCTGGATCTCATTTTGTGTCATATTCCTTCAGTTTGGTATATATTTGGCGATAAGATGCAAAATTGTATCTCACAATGGTAAAGAATCGTTCCAGAAAATAACAATTTTGAATCCAGAAACAAAAAATAATCTCTTCCAAGTCAGGCAAAGCACCACCTCAGGACCGCCTGGGGTTTTTTTTGGGGTGTTTTTAGCTGGGACTCTCATCTCTTATTTTCTGTTTGTCCTTCATAAGTATATATTTTTATTTTGAAATCCTTATTGAATGGCAGCAGCGTCGTGCCATCTTATGCCTTGTGTTCCTCGGTGCCATAAATTTAGGGACAGCAACACAGATAAATAAAGTCAACACTGTCGTCTAAAGAATTTTATTAATAGCTGATTTATTGTGTAGCCAATAAGTTATTTTATGGTCAGTTCAACCACATAAGCAAAGCAAATTTTGAGTAAACAAATGAAACAAATGAAAATCACAAAAAAAAGTGAACGATGATAATCATCGGTTTCTGAGGTAGGATAGAAAAGTGTCACAGGGTCCGAGGGTCTAACCATACGTCCTCACAAATGAACAGAATAATCACAGCTCAGTTCAGCATGGTCGCAGCACATGTGCAAGCCCTTTGTTTGTCCAGGTGTTGTTTTTTTTCTTTCTTTTCCCACCAACTGTGAAAACTTCTTTAAATAGAAGCACGAGGCAGATTCATGCGTAGCTAAAGGAGGACAGCTGCTGAACAAAGCAGACTGAGGCCACGCGGTTTGCTGCTGGACCGAGTCTCATAACCACAAAATTACACAAACTTACAGTATGTCATATTTACAATGTACATATTTACATATATAGAGAGAGAAATAGATAGTTTACATAAGCTTTAGCCTATAAATTAATCATTTTGACATTTGAAGTGCATCCTTTTGTGTTCAGCTGGTAATGGCAATAGACTGATGAATGCTGCCATGCAAAAACAGTCAGGTCCAACTGTTAACCTGATCCAAAATAAAGAGCCATGAAAGGTGTGTGCGTAAAGTCAACACCACCAGCTCTACATGACACCTCAGTTCCACCCTGACTGCAACCCAGGACCAAGCCCAGATCCAGAGGACGACTCCCCAACATGTTGTCCTGCGGATCCTTTACGAAGGGGTTTTCACCCGGCGGATCTCCACCGGACAAAAACGCCACCCGCCAGATGTTTGTCAAGCTGGGGCCCTGCCTTCGACCACCTATGACCTCCTGTGCGCTGTGGAAAAGGAACAGCAGGTCCACTCTCAATTCCACGGTGTGACCCCGTGACCCCAGAGTGTACCTAAAGGTGGCAAGAGACAGTGTCACAATCAGGCCAGCCATTCCCAGAGCCCATCAGTCAAATGATATTACTGGGTCTTGAATAAGAGTGTGTGTAAAAACACCAAAAGTACATTTCTTGAGTTTTGAGCCTGTACCTTGTAGGAAGCTTGTGCTTCGCCATGGATGGAAGCACAGGGCGGATGTCCAGATGTTGCGGGTTGGAAAGCTGAAGGTGAAGCTCGGCTCTTGTAACCGTTAATGACAAGATCTCCCTGGTGAGGACAAACTCCACACCCGTATCTGGTGAGGCGGAGAAGAGGCAATTAACAGTCTGCCAGAGTCACGGTACAGCATTTCATGTCACAGAGAAGCACATTCACTCATGTCAGGCTCTGCCGCAGAGGTGATGTTTTCACTCCTAATGCCTTGTTAATGAGTCAGCAGGATGTCTCAACAATTCTTGAAGGGAACATTAAGCCAGCTAAGACTCATTTGTGTGCAGATAACACAGTCCTCCCTGCAGCTGCATTATTCAAGTCATTATCCACCCCCAAACTGCCTTTCTGTCTTCACTTCACCTCTGCTGAAAAATGATATTTTTAAAGGGAAAAGCCAGAATGCATACTCTGTGTGTGGCTGCTTCGTGTTATTCATGTTTCTTTTGCTTAATTTTCTGCTAAATTAGGTACCAATTCATCCCTGTAATTTATTCACTTAGTTCATCGCTCATTAGACCCATTCAGAATGGTTTACTGAACAAAGTTTCTCTTCTCTCCTGATTAATTTGCAGCACAACTTTTTTTAAACTCTGGAATTATTAAGATTCTTAATATAGCAGGTAAGCTCAAGAAATATGAGAAGAAGCTGTGTGGAGGCCAGCTGATGCTTACAGATGTGAAGAGTCCGTTCCCGTGGTTACCACACAGCTAGTTTTATGTATTGAACTGAACTCTGTTTTGGAGGATTAACCACAGGGATTATCTTCGATCTTCGATTTTAGTTGGGTTTTTTGTTTGTTTGGGGGATTATTTAGAAATACTCCCTCCCATCAGGATCAATCCCGCTCAGCACATCTGACCTCCACAGGACGAGCATGAAGTTAAAGTGAAAAGTTAAAGTTTCTTTTGCCTGGGTGTATTCTCTCTTTCTTTCTTTTTTTTCTTACCTCCTCTCATGCGACCTTGAATCCCTTTCAGCCTCCTGCAGTTTTCTCCTTCTTGACAGCAGCGGTAGACGCGCCGGACGAAGCCGAACAGAGGTTTTCCTGGAAAAACCAACCCACGTGAAGCTCTCGCGGAAAAGTGCCGCATGCTGATCTCCAAACGCGTCCCGCTATCCACGCGAGCTTCTTGCGTGTTCTCCAGCCAAGGTGCTTCCAGTTCCGCGCACCGGTCCGTGCGTAAAGTCGCTTCGTGTGGCTCCCGTGACAAACGCTCCGATGTGCCCACCGCGCGCCCGAACACTCCACAGCAGCTCAGCATCATTAAAATGAAAAGTGATGTAATCCGCGTGCAGTTTGAAGAGGCCATGGTGAAATCCCGAATTCCGCCCAGTGCTTTTCCAGCGACGAGGAGCGGCCACTTCTTCTCTGATGCCAGCTCTCCAAAGCCTTGCGGCCAGTTTGAACCCCTCGCTATTATACCCCACTGACAATGGGGGGACAACACACCACTTAGAATTTGAATCCTGGCCCTCCTCACAGTCCCTGCCCCTCCTTTTGTGCCTTGCCCACCCATTTGACCCCCGCTGCCTTTTATTGAATGCGCCTGCATAATTAGGCGCCCCCAGAGCGCCGAGCAAGCCCATTCACATTCAGCTACTTAGCTAATTGCCCTAATTACTCCATAGCTGGATGGTCGAGAACGACCTTACTCGGAACACGTATAGGGGAGGATATTCTGAGAGAGCAAAAGTATGAACATCTTACAGGCATGCGTTTGGCATTTCAGACCGCTTTGCACACACCTGTTCATGGTCGTTTGAACGGAGGCATTAAGCAAGAGGCAGAAAACAATAGGCTCCACACTGAAGTCATAAGAAGGTCAGGCAACCCCAGCTGTTTTCAACAAG